CCAATCAGTGGCAAGCTCAGCCTCTGTGGGTGTCAGCCTCTGTAATGGATAGTTGGCCTCCTAACAATATAAAAGCTGAAACAAAGTTAAACTTGTACTAGTAATAACTTGTTTATATATGGTATTATTTGTGTGTTAACTTACATCATTCATTGTCGTATATGGGAGTAACTCTTCCCAATCCAACATGTGGTTCCTCTTCCAGGTAATAGCCAATAGCCCTAGGAATATCATTTGATCTTTTTATCGCATATGTCCGCATGCTGGGGAAAGCCTCAAATATCCAAATCTACAAAACAATATAATACACAAACATTAGTAATTGTTAAATAATTAATTATAATTTTGGAAATATTATATAAAAATTATTACCTTAAAGGCCCAAGTAAAACATGTCAAAGTGTATTTAGAACCATCGCCCCGCAAACTTTTTCGGTCCTCAAAGGCAGACAACAACTTCTTCCAGGTAGCTTTCCATAGATATGAACCCCACGAAAACATGTTCCATGCATTTAGGTCCTACACCAATAATATTAGGTCCTCAAAGATAGGTTGTCAACCCTCTTTGCCTAAAAAGCCGGCATGCAAAAGTAATAAATGGCATACTCGGACAACATCAAGGTCATCCATCCGAGTAAAACCATCTTTAACAAATAATCTCTTCAAGTCGTCGACGTGCAAACTCGGCTTCGACTTTGCCAGCTCAGGAAAAACCTGAGATAACCATGATGGGCGGGAGATATGACTAGTGTACCGGGTTACTTCATCGTATCTGAAGCGTAAACTAGTGATTAAGCAAAATTCCTCCTGCCCAAAACAAGTATATGCCGGTGCCGAAGGAAAATGAAACCATATCTCTTCATCACCACGTTGTATCCTCTCGGGTAGATCGTCAGTCATGGTCTAAAGAAAAAAATGTGTCAACATAGCATCTCCACCCGTATTTTGTACTTTCAGCCATGGCCCGAAGCAAATATCCTCAAATAAATTTCTTTGTAGAGGTGTAAGCGTCGACGCAATTTTAGTGGCTAGGCTTAATTTATTCCTTAAGGTCAATGCAGCCGAAAAAAAATGCTACAAAAATAATAAACATACCAAGTTAGATATACCAAAAACTACAAATTATACACTATAAACAGACATGATATTAAACAGTGAAAACAAAGCCAAATATGTTTCAAACTAGCACGGTATTCACATGCTATCATTATTCCATCATAGTTCACAAAATGCATCAAATAACATTCCAGAAGTAAGCACTTATATAAACATTTAAAAGGACAACATATAGGTTTAGTGCAGGTTCAAGGACAACATAAAGAGTAGTAGTTTATTCTTGAAACTTAAATTAGCAACACTGTGAAGTTAGTATTTGTCTTTGTTTTATCTTTTTGTTGAAGTAATGCAATTCATTCAAGTTTCAATTTGCAGAATAAGAGTAGTTTCTGAAACTTAAATTCGCAACGCGAAAATGAAAATCGCAACGCGAAAATGAAAATCGCAACGCGAAAATGAAAATCGCAACGCGAAACTAAAATCACGTTGCGATTTTCATTTTCGCGATGCGATTTTCACGTTGCGATTTTCATTTTCGTGTTGCAAATTTAAGTTTCAAAAACTATTCTTCTGCAAATTGAAACTTGAATGAATTACATTTCTTCAACAAAAAGACAAAACAAAGACAAATACTAACTTCACAGGGTTAAAAACTAAACAATTTAGCAGTATTGGCAGCAACCGAATGAATTTACTAAGTAATCTCAATGAAATGGTTAATCTTTATATATATTGAAATTACCAGTAAATTTATCATCAATATAAGAAAAAACTAATAATAATACAAAAATTTCAAAATAAAAATAAGAGATTAAAAAAACTAACCCTCGGTGGTTGATTTTCCATTTCTGACCGTGAATGGTTGTGAGGATTGCTCTGCGAGATGGAGATAGACGGATTTCGCCGGAGATGGGGACGGATTTCGTCGGAGATGGGGAAGGATGTCGTCGTAGAGAGTGAGAGATGGAGATGGGATTGAGTTGTGATTTAGGGTTTTAGGTTATGATTTACGATAATACTGTTTACATTTGTGTTGCGAAATTAATATTGTGTTTCGCGTTGCAAATTTGACTTTCGCGTTGCGAATTTGACTTTTGTGTTGCAAATTTGACTTTTGTGTTGTGAATTTGACTATCGCATTGCGAATTTGACTATCGCATTGCGAATTTGACTTCTGTGTTGCGATTTACAAATTCGCGTTGCGATTTACAAATTCACGTTGCGATTTACAGATTCGCGTTGCGAAATTGGAAAATCGCAATGCGATTTACATATTCGCGTTGCGAAATTGGAAAATCGCAATGCGATTTACATATTCGCGTTGCGAAATTGGAAACTGAGTTGCGAAATTGGAGTTCGCGTTGCGAATTTGTTGGTCATTTTGGCAAATCCAAAAAAAAATTGGTTAAAATCGTATATTATAAGGTATTTTCGGTCACTGAGGTTATTTTCTCTCTAGAATAAAGAGGGTTAATGATGTCAAGTATTTTTGGGAATGCATCAATAAAAATTAGAGATGTAATTGGATAATTTGTGTCTCCGTGAAGAAGAAGAAAAACAAAATCCGAGAAATTACCATTCTAGCAATCTGTATTTGTATGTCAACTAGCAATGATCTACATTTGTATGTCTTGTTTTTTTTTTTTTATTAATTTCAATATCAAAAACCATTCTATATATTAATTCTCTATAACTATAGATTCTTCATTTTTTTAGGATATTAATTGCTTCAATACTGATTTGAGAAAATGCTTGAAGAATTGAAAGTAAAAAATAAGGAAGGATATGATTATATTTTTGATATCTTTAGAGAGAAATGTACTGAGGCATGTGATGGAGGCCATCGATATGGTCATATGACCATTAACTTGGATGAGGAGATCAATTTGCTTTGAAGCGATTGCGTCATCTGCTTTTAACTATTGACGTGAAACCAACCTCTTATAATTTATTTAAGTTGTTTGCCTCCCTTGGAAGAGAAGCAATTGTTGGTGGGAATGTTATCAACCCTAGGGATCACAAAAAAAAAACTGAACCCGTCGGGGAAAACCGAATTAAACGGGTCGGGTCGGGGATGATAAACGGAGACGGAGACGGGGAAAACCGATTTTTTTAAACGGGAAAGGGTTTGATAATCCCCGCCCCGATTACCCGAATACCTGGCCCGATACCCGTCCCGATAAATATTAAAAATAATTATATTTTCAATTGTATTGTTGATATGATATGCTATATAAATTAATAAATACAACAACTTGTTCACAAGAGTCCGAAACATATTGTAAAAGCATCAAATATGATCGTGATGATGGTGACGAGGTACTAAATTGATATACAAGTTATACGTGATATCATTAACTTTTTTATATAAATTTTGGTGGCTTATAATTTTTTTTTTGTAATTGTAGCAATCGTGGGTCACAACTGTTTGATGACGGTGGTTGTGTTGTTGACGTGATTTGGAAGTTGGAACTTTAGAAGAATGATTTCGTTTATGAAAGTTGAAACATTATATTATTAGTCGTTGTCATTATATTTGTCTATTTGAATTGTTTTGTTTTTATATTTTAGATGCATTTGGTGGTGTTTGGCGTTTCAAGTAAGTTTAGATCTGATAATGACATTATTTTTTAAATAACTCGTGTCATCGTGTGAAATTTAAACGACAACGAAGATTCCCGCGGTGAAAAATAATCATCTAAGGTAAACGGGGATACCTGTTTCTCCGCTATTTTCCCCGATTACACGATGGGGATTCCCGTTTAAATCCCGCGATTTTTTAAGCGGAGACGAGGGACCAATCTCCGGCCCAAAATCGCCCCGTTGCCATCCCTAATCAACCCCAAACTTAAGCACATCCTGAACGCATATAAATCAAACGCTATGTTCGTTCAAAATTTTTCTCGCACAATTGAAGTATTTTGATTTACTGAATTAGCCTTATCTTTGGAGGGTATAGTCTAAAACTGGTATCGATTTGACCTGCAACAACGTTCGTGCGATTTTATAATCTTTCAAACACAAAAATATCTGTCCAAACGTCATTGTTTCATTTTCATCTCTTTGTATGAACTCCAAAAGTCGTCTAGAAGATGGTGAAATGCATATACGTTGCATGGGAAACATTCTAAGTGGCAGCTCCGTGTCGGGCGGGGATGAGATGGAAAGGAATATAGGTGAGGAAGTAATTATGGGTCTAGGTAATAATGGTGAAAAGTCAGGGAATATTCTGAAGCAAAGCCTGGGTTTCGTGGGTCCAGAGGCAGGAGAGAAGTGGGAAAAAAAGAAGGGAGATGTCTTACTCGGATCCCGAACACGTAGTACATAGAGAGAGGATAAACGATTTTGCCCTCTGGGAAGATGGATCAAATACTAGGGTTTTGGAAGATTTAATCTGCATGGGCTTTAAAAACAAACCTGTGATTAAGAGAACTCAAGGGGAGGTGGGCCGAGAGGCTGAGGAGTCTACAACCCAAGTAGAAACGGTTTTCAAATCGGTAGATTATGAAGAGGGTTTGGCTGATATGTTGAATTCACCAATCCTACCGCATGAGGAAATAACTTTACCAAGAACCAAACAGAACCAAAGAGTAAGAACGGGGAAAAATAAAAAGTATAGTTTTCTTGAAGTTATCCTTGAAAAATTCTCTCCTTCCCATGGGAAGAAGAGAAGTACCCGAATAACTAAGAAGAAGAAGAAAGAAGAGTGTGAGGAAATCTCGTCAGAACTGGAGGGATGGTCCCTGTCAGACTCCGATTTGCAAGCAAGATGGTTGCGACAAAAAGGAGAATCGAAGAAAGCGTTGAAGCTTGGCAAGGAGCTTGGAATAGAAGTTATAGGATCGGAAGACGCTTTGATTCGTGAGTTAGCAGCTTTGGAAGCATCGGAAGGTAAATCTCAATCCTTAGCTTTTTAATCAGTAAACGGAGGGGGGAGATTAGAAATGAAGATCCTGTCATGGAATATCCGAGGTATGGGCTCGGACGTTAAGATCTCAGAACTACGCAGAATTATTCGTGTTAACAGGATAGAAGTTGTAGTTATTCAAGAAACAAAGAAAGACGATTTTTCTGATCTAGAAATTGGGCGAATCTGGTTTGACGATGAGTTTGATTTTAGATTTTCAAAAGCGGTGGGTAGAGCAGGGGATATTATTACTGTTTGGGACAAGAGTAGATTTCAGTTAGAGGATAGCTTCATTCAAAGTAGATTGATTCTTATTAGAGGTAAATGTACTTTGGATTTGTCGATATATTCTTTAGTGAATGTTTATGCTCCATGCGATAGCAGTGAACAACTGTCCCTTTGGTTCGAGGTTGAGTCATTAAGGAGGACAAACAATAGCAGATGGTTTTTCGGTGGATACTTCAATAGTTCAATGCTATTCGAAATCGAAGCGAGAGAAGTGGGTGCTCTGTTAGACAATCTGGAATTAACGAATTAACTCCTTTATAGAAAATTCCAAACTTCTTGACATGCCCTTAACAGGGAGAAAATTTACATGGTTCGGCCCAGGAAATAGGAGAAACCGACTTGATAGAATTTTTGTGGAAGAGGACTGGTTCAAAGAGAATAGTGAGGCTACTCTTTGGGGGCTACCAAGAGAAGTATCAGACCATATTCCGATAATTTTGGGTAAGGAAATGATAGATTGGGGTCCGAGACCATTCAAGATTATAAACGCTTGGCTAAATCAAGAGAGTTGCACGGAGGTTATAAAGGAAACTTTAGAGCTGGATGCGATAAATGATAAAGATTTGTTTGCAAAACCACGTAGAGTGGAAGGAGCGCTAAAAAAGTGGAACAAGGAATGCTTTGGTACTATAGACACTGAAGCGCAGAAGATGGAGGCATGGATAAACGAGTTAGACACGAAAAGAGATTATATGATCTAGAGAGGGAGGAACTAGCAGTCTATACGAAGAAGTTATGGGATTTATTGAGAGCAAAAGAGGATATATGGAGGCAAAAATCAAGAATGAATTGGTTGAAAAATGGAGATGAAAACTCTGACTTCTTCCATAGAATAGTCAATATTTGAAGTAAAAGAAGAATGATTCTCGGTCTGAATTTGGGGGAAGATAGTGTTTCTGATCCGATTAAATTGAAGGCAAAGGCTTTCAATTTTTTTAGCAACCATTTTCGCCGCAATAAAAGAGATTGGCAGACAGTTTAACATTCCCATTAAGAAACTATCGCCGAGAGGCTTCAGCGTTGGAAGTGCCATTTACTATATAAGAAATCGAAGAGGCTGTTTGAAGAGATTGATCGAAGATTAGTGTTTGTAGGGAAGGTACAACTTACGTACATTCCTAAGATGTGCAACAGCATGGCGGAACAACTCGCGAAGATAAGATTAAGCAGACAAGAAATGTTTAAAGCATGTTGGTAGTTATTGCATGTTGCTCTCTGTCATCAGTTTCTTGTAGTGTTTGGTTGTCTGATGTGGTTAGGTATGTTTATGCTATTGAGGCTTCTGTATAGTCTTGGCAAAATTAGAGACCATGTATGTTTTTTTCTGAACTGGCTGTTTCGTACCTTAACCCTGGAGTACTCTTTTCTCCTATTTAGGCCTAGAGGGGTTTTTAATGAGGCTCCCGGTTGGGATGATCTTAAAAATCGGAAATAATAATTCATGTTGCTGAACAAAAAAAAATAAAAAAAATGTGGATGACATATATAGCCTTGAGATCCCACATTCAAGGTTTGAGTTTCCTCCAATCACTAATTAAAAAGATGGAACATGGTTAACAATGATACTACCATTATACCAGATTATGCACTACTTCGCAAAGACAGGCCGTCCGATATCAACTAGGATTCACAATGGCATTGATATTAGAGAAATATCGGGCAACCAAAACGTTGTGGTCATTGTCGAAACCTAGGACTCACTACGAGGAAATACTCTATTTTGAATCTCATAATCAGTAATCATAATATTTTTCCTTTTTAATTTGTTTGGTTTGGATTGTTTAAATTATTTGAATTGGTTTGCTTCAATTTAATTTAGTTTGGTTTGATCTTTAATGAAATTAGATTGTTCTTATCATACATTTTCATTTATTAGGTTCACATTCAAAATGTGATAAACATAAACATAAACACTTATAACACTAAAACATAAAATCACAAACACTAAGAATAAATTTTATTTCAACATATTATACTATATATCATTAAATTTTAAACCACAATCAAATAAATTTACATAATATTTTTTTATTTCATATATTTTTATATTTAGTTTTATATTACAGTAAAACATGCATTATTTTTAATTGTTTAAAATTATTATTTAAATACCATAAAACTAACCCTAATAATTTTAATTTTTAAACCTTGAAACTAAAGGGTAAGGAACCCTTAGCCCAACCTTAAAAACCATTCTAAAATCGATGTAATGTTGGGGAAGTGGTGGTAGGGGAAAGACGCTTCCTCCAGGTTCCACCTTTTGTGCCATGCATGTGAAATGGAATTTCACATGGTAGCACCTTTCAAAGGGGACTTCTTTGAGCCAACACAATGATCTTATGTGGTCGAAATGCGTTCAATAAAAGATAAATGTGTCATTGTGATAAAAAAATATTATTTTGATAATTTAACCGACTTAGGTTATCCCTATTCCCATTTCTACTTATTGTATTAAGCTAATAAGTAATTAAAAACTACCTTAATTAGAGGGGTTTTAATATTATTAAAGAAGAAAATATGTATAGATCTAACAAAAGAAGAAAATATGTATAGATCTAACAAAAGAAGAAAATAAAAGGAGTCCATAGATTTTCTTCGTGAACCAGAAGGGGAAAAACCTAGAATCCTATTTTGATCCAACGCTTTCTCTACCGTCGTTGATTAGATGTTTTTTGATGCTCTACTACGTGGTCATCATCATAGGATTGAGCAACACGAGTTATTGTAGCGATGCCCATTTTAAAGCCTTCGTATTATCGTCATTTGAGCTCCACTAGTGGTGGCAAAACGAGTCATTGGGTTCAGTTCGAGTCATTTCGGTTTGTATCATTTTAAGTTTAGACTTATTCAGGTCAGGTTCGGGTTGGATCATTTCAAATTTTAGTTTTATTTGGGTTTATAGGAAGTCAGATCGAGTTCGGGTCGGGTCGGGTTATTTTGGGTTTAAGTTTTATTCGAGTCTATACTAAGTCGGGTTGATTCGAGTATCATGTCGAAACAATATCAGATCGATTGATTTTTGATCAGATCAAATCGAATATGTTGATTTTCAAGTCGGTCAAAATTCAAACAATTATTTTTCGGTTTGGGTCAACTTTGAATTTTCCGATGGGTACAAGTCAAATCGAGTATGTATAGAATTATTGATATATTTTTGTAAAAAAAAACATTAAAAAAAAAATCTTATCATTTATGTTTAATTTTATTCAAATTTAATAATCATTTGTGGATTATAATTTAACTCAAACTCGACATATAAAATATGTTATAGTTTGTGATTTTTTTATTGACCCAGACTGAAATGTTTATGGTACGAACTACTTGATTAAAAGAAAAAAAATTAATTATAATTTTTTGTTATCTATTAAATTTTTAAATTAGATACTTAACATTTAATTATAAATATAATATTTTTATTAAATTTAAAAGTAATAATAATATAATATTTATGTTTGAATAAATATTATTCTAAATATATTATCATCGATAATATTTTAATTTTAAATTATATATATTGAAAATAAGTTATTTGTGTAGTATAAAAATAAGTTATTTTTATATTAAATTTAAATATATGTAATGTTTCATGTACAAAGGAATTAAAAAATTTGTAAATTAATTTAATTGTTTTGAAAAGTTGTTTTAATAGTTTAAAAGTAAAATATTAAATTAATAATGAGTTACGTACATTATATGTCCTTAAACTATTACTCTAATTTCAAATTAGTCCTTAAACTTTTAAATGTTCCAATTTTATCCTTAAACTACGACTCTCATTCTATATTAGCCCTTAAACTTTTGAACATTTGAATTTCATCCCCAAACTATGAATCTTTGTAACACCATAGTCTAGTCCGACCTGAAGATCCATGGATTACAATGCCACATGGAACCACCGAAATGGTCAACTCAAAAATTTCTTTTAAAAGCGTGTATAAACATCAAAATAAATTCATCATAATTGTAATGGAAATCAAATTCGATATTTACAAAATATAGGAGTCCTTCAAAATACGTACAATACAACAAATATAGTTTTAAACCAAATGGAGTTATGACTCAAATACACAAGGTCCATGTTGAATACATGCCCTCTAAAATAGACTCAGGACATACTCTGCAAATCTTTTGGTCTTGAATGTACGGATGTGATAGGCTCCTCAACGATCCTTATACTAACCTACGCACGAAAACACATTCAATACGCTGAGCACACAATCTTAGTGCCACGATAATAACTATACAATACTACATGGATTCATTTCATGAATATGCTGGTGTGTAAAGTCATAAACATGCAATGGTACATAACAAACATGAGATAGGTCGAGTGGTGCAGTTGGAAGAATTTACGTGCACCTTGGATAACACACTAGCCTATCTAAAACATAATAACTTCAGGTTAAGAACCAAAATTTATGTGCTTCAAAACTTTTAGCCGTCAGTCTATATCGGATCCTTGAGAGGTAGGGGTGAGGTCCGAAATTTATGTGCATCGGAAGCTCACATCCCGCACCTAGTCGAGCATAGGGTAAGAATCCATAATATACGTGCATCGAAATTTGTACTGGTACGACCCAAAATTTATGTATGTCAGATGCATACCAAACAGATAATATATGAATATTTACAAACAAAGGACGATCGTCATAATACTAACATAACTCGGGGTGTCCTAGCCGTTTCCCGAGCATTATACAGAGGTAAGTCTTATCTCATCCTGTCTTGCTTGATTTCTAGGTGAGAATTGAGTTGTGTTGATTATTTTCACTTTTATCGAATACTTGTAGTTTATACAAACTCAAAACACCCAAGTCAAACAACCAAACAAAATAACCAAAATTGCCCAAAAATCACTATGGGTATCGATACTATGCTAACAGTATCGATACTCGACCCTTGGGTATCGATACCAAATCTTGCTTCTATGTTTTGAAAATAAATACCTTGGTATCAATACCCCTATGGGGAGTATCGATATTGTACCCTAGGTATCGATACCTCCACGAGTATCGATACCAAAATCAACTTTGATGTTTCTAAAAATGCCTCAGTATCGATACTTACCATCTAAGTATTGATACTGGACCAAGAGTATTGATACACCTTGAAGGGGTATTGGTACTACCCTTTTAAATGTCTTGGTTTTTTCCTTCCACGAAGAACAATATCGGTACTGTTCTTCCAGTACCGATACTAACAGACCTGGGTGCCCTATTTTAAGCAAAAAAATATACCCAAAACTCATCGATTCACTCCCCAACGACTGGTAAACATTTTTAAAGTATTACATAGTTTCTTAGAGGTTAAAAGGTATCAACTTTCATTATTGTAACACACAAATATGAATTTCACCATGAGTTTACTCTAGCATGCTTACATAAACAAAACATTCAAAATGCACATACCTTGATCTACATGTAGTATGGTTAAGTTAGAAATGTGTTACCTTGAATCTAGGTGACTGAAAGATGTTCTCAAATCACCCAACTTTTCCTTGCTTTTAGCCTTTGAGCTCTCTCCTTGCTCTTGCACTAATCAAAACAAGTTGAATGAGTTGTTAGCTCATTTTAAACCTTAGGATGAAGCTAAAAACGATTTTATACAACTTGAATCTCATAACACGAACCAAAACTTAGGATTCCATAAAACCCACTATAACCACTTTTTGATAACTTAACCAAAACTTATGTTTAGGGGC